CTTAGATAAGATTTAACTACGGCCTATTGTAGACCTGTTCCAAGCCATACTGCCCAGAAACATTAGGCATTTTCTGCCCACTCTCTACCTTTGCTATTATACTCTGACCTTTTGAAAAGAAAAACAGACGCAAAACTTAACGAGTGCCTACCCGACAGTCTCGGGAATACATAAAAGAATTGTTTCTGTCAGAAAAATAAAAGGCTGGAATTAAAAGGAAGAGTTTCAAAGTTCGGAGGAATACTATCCGATCGGTATATACCGGCTTGAGCGTCGATGTCGACGTCTCCCACGCTCCGAAAGGTTTCGAATTGTTGCCCTAAGACAAGGGAAGACCAATCGGTATTCATTATTTTACATCGCTTCTTCTTGTGTTTGTTCTATGGGGTGTTCATTATCCGAACATAAAAATCTTTCGCGAAAGTGTTCATTATCTGATTTGTTCGTTATCCGATCTGTTCGTTAACCGATCACCCACTGTATTTCGAAGAAATCAGTCCCACTGTACTCGGCTAGAGATTGGTTTGGTTAGGCCTTTAAGTAAAATTTCAGCTCTTTCATCAGGGTTTTGTTTATGTCCCCAATTCCCGAATCGCTTAATTATTTAACTACTTCTTAAGTAGAAATAAGTCAAAACCAGTTACTTTGTACTTGAATATTTGTAGTCTTGGGAAAAAGTGTAAAGACAAATTTTTATGACAAACGGATATATAAATCGTAAATTTAAGGAAAATAAATTCTAGAGCTTTTTCTGTACCTTGTTCATCCCTCTCATTCATTAAATTTAGTTGTAAATTATGCTACCAAAGTAACAGTTAATTTTTTAACATTATACAAGAATTGTACACATTTTTTTCTACATCCCCTTAAAGATACAAAATCGTAATATCACTGGTTTAACATTGAAATCCGTGAGTAATATAAAATCGGAGAGCGGAATAAATATATCAGATATTTTAACGGATTTTTTAAAATTTCTGTCAACTATACAGAAAACTATCATAAAAACAGACAGGTAAATTCTTATCGGTTGGGTTAAGTTATAAATCTACTTGTGATTCACATAATCAGGCAAGGGCGGCCAAATATCTAGCGGGTGGGCGGCTAACAGCCCGGAACCAGTCCTGGATAGAATTGGATGCGTTATACGTGTAGCAGCCACCCGAGGTCCTAGGCTTCCACCGGCTAAACTGGTGAGGTTGGTGCTCCGTAAAGCGCATGCGCAAATCTGGAATTTTGGATGCTGACAATACAGCGTTTCCACTCCGCCACTAATATTCAAATATACAATAGCAATCTTATCTTTTTTTCCACGTGTAGTATAGAAATTTGTAATAAGATACATAATGCGGTTATAATAAAATATTGTGCGATTATTTTCATATAATTAAAATTAATATGTATTTATTTTTTAAAGAAAATACAAGGGAAGCGGCGCATCCACCACTTCAAATGATGGCATGCCACTGAGTAATAAGGAGGGAGAAGAGATAGATAGTAGAGAAAGATAGGATCCCTCTAAATGGCGTATGTATGGTTACAGTATCCTCTATGTTTGATGTTGGCGTGCAGTTTTTAGACTGCAAGGCTGTAGTCCCTCAAAGGGTCTAAAGAAAACCTGAGTGTAGCAAACACCAATGATTCAGTGCTGCCATGAATAGCTAAGTGTAGAAGTTAGTGCCAAGTGGCTGTTAGTAGGAAGACTTATAACTACTTAATGCTAATGAAACTGAATGTGAGTGCGAATCTTAATACTACTTAACAGCTAGACAGACAGCATGAAAAAACAAATGAACATTAACAACAAACTAGACGAGACAAATGGACAGACAAAAGACGAACATGCAAGACCCCAAATTTATTTATTTTACTTTTTTATTTATTTTTTTAAACATTAACTTACTAACTAAATTAACCTCACATTACATACTGTATTTTATTTGTTTTTTTAGCTGTTTCAGTCAGATAAGTCATGTTATAATCTTCCATTTTATTGCTGTTTGGTTTTTGTTTCACATATTATGTAGATTTTCATTAAGTTTTAATTAAGTCATTTTAATTGAGTTCAAAAAATAAACAGTTATTTTAATATAATTCTTGTGCTAAAAATCAAAAGATGCTAAAGTTCAACTTAAAATTACTGTACAACAAAATGGAAATTTCTTTCAATGAAATTCATCAGGAGTAGAAATACAAAAATACCTGAAAAACATGTATGAATAAGTAGTCATATAATGATGGCCATTTTGCACACACAAACTTACAAAGAACGTTTAGAAGTAACTGAAGCTTTGTGTGTGAAATTGTGGTCTTAATGTGACTGTTAATTCAAACAGTTGCTTTTTATATTTACAAATTGGCAATTTTACAAAAATGTAAAACTATTTACACAATTTTTACATGTCAATATTAACAATAGGCAAACTGTATTAAAATTTTGTTTCCTTTTAACCTGGATGATGCCTCTGCTGGTTCAATATGAGTAACTTCAAACAATTCAATTCTTTAACAAATTACCATTGAATGAAGGCAAAAATAAAGGTGTTAGATAGCTGCTAATCTGGGACATTGAATTTGAGTCAAATTTTCGAGGATGATTTGACCTGAATATGTTGAATGCTATCCTCTTCACCTAGCTGCTACAATTATGGACCTGACCACAATGGGCATAAAATAGTTGTTTTGGAGCCCACAGAGTAAAAGAGTTTATTATTATTATGCTATTATATAGGGTAATGATACAAGTAGTTGACTGTTTAATGCTGTTTTAAATTTTGATATTTTTTATTGCAATATGTAGTAACACTAAAAGCAAAATTGATATATGAAAATAAAGTTTGTTCTATACTTGTCATAGGAAAAAAAATAAACTTTTATTAGACCATTGTTTACTTTATGAAAAAATAATTTAATCACAGGGGCTGTTTAATTGTTTATGGAGGTTAATGACTGGGTTTACCTTCATGAGAGCCTAAAACCATAAAAAAATAATCAAGCTCAATCATAGGAAATTTGAAGAAAATGTAGAACCTTCATTATCTTCTAAGGACCAGACAATCCCTCACTATGTGACTGACTACCAGAAGGGGTGTTGTGCATTAATTTTTCTTACCACGAGTGAGGAAACCTGTTATTCTTACATGTCATTGAGAATGGGATTGTCTTATGGTGCTTCCTGTAAAGATGGCTTGCCAAAACTTGAACCAATGGACTAACTAATTATGAACTAATTGAAGTAATTATGTACAGATTTTGGCTTACACAGTTGACAATAAGTGCCCCCATGCTACATTATTGTCATGTTGTTATTGTTTAACAATTTGTTAATCATTTGTAGTAAATAACAACATAAGCATATGCATTAGATTGGTTGTATATTGTTAGATGTACTGTATAATGTAAGTATAAAATAAATATATTAGTATAAAAGCAAACATATAAAGGAGAGAGAATGGATAAGATCATAGAAGAAATTCATCTCTGTCATAAAAAGAATTAAACAGGTAATGATAGAAAATTGATCATGATAATAAGAAATAAAAATTTGGATATGATAATAAATATAAATTGGTCAAAATAGTCAAACAAGTTTTTAGCCTAATTCAGTTTGATTCCAAAATAATTACTACTTACAAACATTTATTTTCACACACACAAATCAGTTCTGAAACAAATATCTTTATTAATTATAAAATATGCTACTAGAATATAATTTGATAAGAATTTATTGCTGGAATTTCTCTTATTGATTTGTTAATTGCTTAAAATTAATTTTATACATTCAATCTTTGTAATATTTTATGCTAACTGAAAATAATTAAGAGTCATCTCTGAACTTCTCTCTAAAATATATCTTATATTCTACATTACAATTACACACATTATATATATTAAATATTGTATAACTGTATAACATTTGTTTCTATAACTTCCTTATAAATGGAAAGCTTGACAAGTATGATAGTGTTTTTAAATTCCAAACACAATAAGTAAATATAATTTCAGAGAAATTTATCTAGTTCTATCAAAATACTTTAAACTAGAGCTAATATGACACTAGAAGCCGTAGAGCAATCCTCAATGGCGGCGTACCCGGTGAGGGACCGAGAGCCCCGACATCTGCCAACATAAAAGGAAAACAAATACTAGAAAATTTTCCAAAACTCTTTTCTTAAATAAAATTTATTTCTTATTTACACCGTGTCGCTTCTTGTATTTATACACTATTTACGAACTAGCATTCTTACATGGTAAAAATTTTATTGAATCTGTATTAAAAATTTTTTATCCATTTAACTCGGCTTCCCAAGATCAAATCCTAAGCGTGCCACTAATTCTCAACACCCATCACGACTAAAACCGTCCTTCTAAGGGTCCGTTCGGAAACACTCACTGGTTCCATCACCAAAACTCGGCATCATCCTGTTCTATGCATTCCAACTTGGAATTTCATCAGTTTAAAAAACCCAAAGCAGACCACGGTCAAGGTCGAAAACATTCGTTAGATGTTTTTATTAAAATTTTGTTACTGGATGGTAAAGGTTCTCAATTGTTTGCATTTGTGGGAAATATTTTTGGACAATGCTTATTAACTGATTGTTGCAGGACTCTCCAATCTCAAGTCAGAAAGCCATTGGCTCCGTCATTGGCTGCCAACCGATGGCATTTCTGAACAGACCCGAAAAGACTAACCAGAAGGCCAGGAACAGGCAAACTTACCAATAAATATTTCTGAAATTCCAACCGGAAAAGCAAACATACATTGAGTACAAATTTTACAATGAATCTCTACATTAATGTTACAGAAACAGGAGAAATATACACAAGTTCAGAGATTTAAGTTTATTACTCATCTTATTGAGTAATTACAACAGATTACTTTATTAAATTAACATGAATTTTAGAGGGAATGTTTGGTGATGAGAGTCACACAATGTTATGGAAATTGTATAAATTCATAATAAATGGCCATTAAGTGACATTAGATAATTGTAATTTACCTGCACACCAATTAACACGCTCGTGTTTAGGAGAATGAAGAGAAAGAACCAATTAAATGTCGCATATTGCATAAGTTACAACGAAATCGAAACATTGGCCGGTGTGACGTAATTTTAAATTAATAAAGGGATTATAACGACGTAAAGACTCTTTTAAATATTATACAATGTATAAATTTTAAGATACTCGGTAGAAAAATACGAACCAAACTTCTGATGAATCATCTTCCGTCTTTCCAATGAATTACGCTTCTGGACCTTACATCATAGACATCGGCGATAACGACAGTAATCAACAGATGAGCGAAATTTTGTAAATGTTTGTTTAAAATATTATTATTTTTTATTGGATTAAAATTATTGATAGTAAAAGTTTAAAAATAATTAATAATATTTTGGAATTTTTATATATCGTTTGATTTTAATGATATAGAAAAATATTTGACGTCAAATTGACGTCAGTTTACGATTTTTGTAATGGTCAAAAGCTATAATGACGTCAAATCGACGTATTTTGTGGCGAGTGTGTCGCCGAATTTGAGGGGTTCTCGCTTTGTGGCCGAATTAGTTCATAATCGTCGATGTATTTACGTAATCAATTAATTAAATGACACATTTAATTACTTAATTATTTTCAAACAGTAAAATAATCGATTATCTGAGATTAACAATGTTTTATTATTTTTATTTTCTTCGGACGATTTGCCACACATTGCAATCTGCCTCCCGGGGCAGCCGCCCACCTTGCTCATTGTGTAAATGCGATAAGCATTGCGGACCCCTTTTTTATTTAGTTGATTCTTTCGGTCCTGTGGGTATCAACGGGCCTTTTTCTCATGCTCATTGTGGTTTCGGCCATGCTTACCGTGCAGAGGCCGGGTGGTAAAGACGGGGCCCAACGTATCAGGAAAACACCGCTCAAAATTTTCGTAATTGGAGAGTGTTGCTCAAATTTGAGATTTCCTTTCGATGAATTAATTTCGGCTATAGAATGTAGTTTGTAGAAACATTTTTGGACCCTCTCCGATTACTGAAGAACAGAAACCACAGCTAGTAAAGTAGATCATCGCACATGCGACGAAAGGTTTTCCTCAGAAAAAGTACAACCTTCTTCAAAGCGTCTAAGAATTTCTAAAATAAAACTCATGCCTCATTTCTTTTAAGGACGATCTTCTAGGGAGATGAATGGTATCGAGAGTCACGGCAAGTAACAAAGTCGCTGACTGACTATATATACAGGAATCAGAGTTGCCGATTTTCGGGGATCGATTTCTCTGCCCTGTAAACGTCTAAAGTAATTCAGAATATTTCGTTCGAAAAAAAATTGTCTTCTTTGGTAGTGTGCAAAATTTCAAAATTTTCTATAAAGCGGTTGCCGAAATATAAGCAATTGAAAAGTGCGAAAATGTACAGTAGACCCCACTATAATGCGGGTTCCTATAACGGAGATTCCTATAACGTGGCGAAAAAATTGCGACCATATTCGTATAAAGACGCCAAAAGGGACTCGTAAAACGTCGTCGCCGACTCGTGTCGCGACAGGATTGGTCGAATCTGGACCAATAGTAGACGAGCAGCCGAACTACTTACATGCTACAGAGAGTTTAGGCGAGTAAGTTGAGTTTACTATCGTCTGTACAGTATGTAAATTAGGTACCGTAAGTCTAATACAGCACTAATTTTATACATTTCTTGTGAAAGAAACATTTCTTATTCAACGGCCATAAAAATTATTTATATTAATGATGTCTCCAAAGTTCAACGAATTTTTCGCAGAAAAATAACTTATCAGAAATCGCGGCCGCCGTTTGGTGCGCTGCTCCGCGACGAAAACAAGCGTAAGCAACGGCGTAGTCGAACGGTGCACACTCGGTAAGTAATCCTACAATTTTTTGTTTATAGCATAGTTTATACGGATTATTCCCAAAAAAAATTATACGTGTTTTGGAAATGTTGAATCGAATTAGTATAGAATTGATTAATTTTATGGAAGAAAACCTTTCAAACAGCCATAGTCCGTAAACTTTACACTTGTCGGGCTGCGATTGGCTCATGTATTTAAGGATTCCTACAACGTGAAATTCGTATAACGTGGAACGTATCTACGCGTTATAGGGGTCTACTGTATATATTAAAAATTTATATATGTATATATATATATATATATATATAATCTCAAAGGACGCGACAGGGTTGTTGTGGATTTTAAACGTTTCTCAACATAGCTGTAAAAATCTGAATATGTTAAACTTAATAGATTGCCCGTCGTTTGTTTTCTAACTAATTCGTTTTAGGACCAGGTGTGCATGGTAATTTACAACTTTTCGGTCACACTCATTGAACTGGAAATATTTCTTTATTACATCTAATATTGCGAGGAAAGCAGTCCCCACTATACTCAGCTAAAGATAGGTTCGGTTAAGCTTTTGTTTAAGTAAAATTCCGGCTCTTTCAGCAGGATTTTATTTATGTCTCCAATTCCCTAATTTCTTAATTATTTAACTACTTCGTAAGTAGAAATAAGTCGAAACCAGTTACTTTGTACTTTAATATTTATAGTTTCGGGAAAAAAGTGAAAAGACAAATTTAATACATGCATCGTGAATTTAAAGAAAATAAATTCTAGAGCTTTTTCTGTATCTCGTGCATCTCTCTCATTCATTAAATTTAGTTGTAAATTATGCTACCAAAGTAACAGTTAATTTTTAAACATTATACAAGAATTGTACACGTTTTTTTCTACATCCCCTTAGAGATGAGACATACGAAATCGTAATATCACTGATTTAACATTGAAATCTGTAATATAAGATGGGAGAGCGGAATAAAAATATCAAATATTTTAATGGATTTTTTAAAATTTCTGTCAACTATACAGAACTATCATAAAAACATACCAGTAAATTTCTATCGATTGGGTTAAATCATAAATCTACTTGTGATTCACATAATCGGGGGAAGGCGGCCAAATATCTAGCGGGCAGGCGGCTAACAGCCCAGAACCGATCCTGGATAATCATTGAAAGCGTTATACGTGTGTAGCTTCCACCAGCTAAACCGGGTGAGGTTGTTGCTCTGTAAAGCGCATGAGCGAATGCTTATAATCTGGCTGTTTGGAAGCTGACCCAGTTTCGACGATACAGCGCTTCCCCGCGTTTCTTTATGCAGCGATCGAGAAGCGCTTTACAACGAACACACTGAAACTAGTTTCTAATTGGCCAACACTGCTCGTGACGTCATTTCGCTACACTCTCGCTGCATAAAGAAACGCGGCCCTTCCATTCGCCACTGATATTCGAATATACAATAGCAATCTTATCGTTTTTTTCTCACGTGTAGTATAGAAATTTGTAATAAGATACATAATACGGTTATAAGAAAATATTAATTTTAATTAATCCAAAATACGTTCAAATATGAAAATAATCGCGCAATGTGTATTTATTTTTTAGAAAATACAAGGGAAGCGGCGCTTCCACAGCTTCCAATGACGGCACGCCACTGCCGTACACTATATTTTAGTTTGTATATGAATATATATATATATATAATATACGCCTATAAAGCTTCTTTATTGCTTCAATAATTAAATAATAATTCACCGTATTAATTAATTAATTACACCAATAAATTAAGCCTATTTTAAACTTATGTGGTGAATATGAAATCGCGCTGTTAATTTAACAAATTGTCAATGTGTAAATTCAGTTAATAGAGAGGTTGAGGCGCACGTTTTAAACGTGTAAATGTGACGTTCGGCGCCGCT